TCTCCACTTGTAACAGCATCAACATTAATGATGAAAATAACCTTTTTAAGGAGATTCTACTTTTAGTTTCATAGTGAGAACATAACAAACGGGAGGGAAAGTTTCCAAGTCCTCTGGTGGGATGGGGTAGTGGTAGAGGGGGTGTGGGGATTTCCACTTAATAACCTGATTGTGACGAAGATTCCAGGAAACCTGGAGCAGGCCAACTTGTATAAAAACAGGCACCTCAGCACATCTAACAACCATCACATCCCCACACACACTGAGAGTAATTACATACAAGTCTTCAGTAGGTCCTTAGACATATCACTTAAAATGGTAAGTGCAGGGGTTTCTATTTATGAGCAGGGGTCTTAGTGCAAATCATTTTATGGTTTGCTTTGTTGTCAATTAATTTATCTTTATGCAACATTTTTACTTAATTTTTACAGGAGTTCTGCTTTGGATTACTTCAGAGTCGTGGATCCAAGATCTCATGGATCAGCCAGATGCTTCTTTGTTCAAGTAAGTGAATTAAATGCTATGAAAATCTTCACCTTCCCACTTTCAACATTTTCTTTCTGGATACTAATTTTAAAAATTCCCCATTACTAATGTACAATCTAATATATGCCCTCTTTCCTCTGTCCTCAGTGCTGTGCATGTGGACTACTGTGGAGAGCTGGTCTTACTTCTACTCCAACACCACCATGGACTGGGAGCAAGCTAGAGCCTGGTGCAGGGAGCACTACACGGACATGGTGGCCATCCAGAACAAGGAGGAGATCGACTATCTCAACAGCTGGCTGCCCAGAAAACCCACCTACTACTGGATTGGGATCCGCAAGATCGAGAATGTCTGGACCTGGGTGGGCACCAACAAGAGTCTGACAACAGAAGCAACTAACTGGGCAAAGGATGAACCAAACAATGGCAAGAATCTGAAGCAGTTCACGGAGAACGAGGACTGTGTGGAGATGTATGTGAAGAGGAAGGAGCAGCAAGGCAAGTGGAATGATGAGAGGTGTGGGAAAGAGAAGACCGCTCTGTGCTACATAGGTAAGCAAACGTTTGGATTCATAGGATATGTGTCAGTCTATTGATTCAACAGTTTTGACATGATTTACTGATGTTGTGGTAAAAGACAAGCTCAGAGAAATATGCAGGATATGTAAAAGTGCTTCTTGTTTCCCCAGCGGCCTGTAAGAATGACTCGTGTCACCATGGAGAATGCGTGGAAACCATAAACAGCCACAAGTGCGATTGTATCGAGGGCTTTTATGGAGAGAAGTGCGAAGAGGGTAAGAAAATACAGTGATGTTTTAAGTTGATATTACTAAAGTCACTTCTCAGTCACATCAATAAAATGACAACAGTAAATGTATGCAATAAAAAACTGAAAACCTGAAAGAGACAATACAAATGCACAGGTTTACAGTAAAGAGTTGATATTTAATTGTCTTATCTTCTCTGTTGGCAGTTGTTAAGTGCGAAAAAGAGGAGGTAACTGTTCCTTACAAAGGAAGTGTACATTGCAGTCACAAGTATGGAAACTTCTCCTTCAACTCATCCTGCGAGTATTCCTGTGAGGAAGGATATACGCTGAGTATGTTGAGCCCGCTGAGATGCACTGCTTCCAAAGAGTGGTCGAAGCAGCCTCCTACATGTGAACGTGAGTAGAGCTGTATTGCAAAGCTGTAAAAAAATGTAATATGTAACAACACCCAGAGAAACAGAGTTCTAATGATGGGACCTGCTTTAATGTGTTTTTCCATGGCCCTGTCATCCGCAGTGGTCCGGTGTCCGGAGCTGACTCGTCCTGCAGGAGGATCCATGTATTGCTCCAATCCTCTGGGCGACTCTAGCTACCAGTCCACCTGTGTGTTTGTCTGTGACGAGGGCTACGTACAGGCTGGTTCCTCCTCTGACACTCTGCAGTGTGAGGCATCAGGACATTGGAATGCCTCGCAGCCGTCTTGTGTTGGTACGCGCTCATATTTCTTTAACTTGCCGGATTTGATTGTCTCTGTTGTTTGTTTTAACAAGGGAAAAGCTGTGTGATTTGAAGTTGTTACATGAGGCTGCTTATTGACCTCTACTCTTGCACCTCTGTCTTTGCAGCTGTAGAGTTACCTGCTCTCCCGACACTGGAGAATGGCTTTGTCAGCTGTGGACCCACAAATATGAAGTTTATCTACAGGAACACCTGCAGCTTCAGCTGCAGCCCTGGCTACCACCTGGTGGGACTGAGCACGGTGACATACACATCAGCGGCAGATTGGAGTGAAAACATTCCTCGCTGTGACGGTGAGGGCTCTCTTTAAATGTAATCAGTGAAAGATTTAAGGTTTTTCTAAAATCAGGGGCTATAGAGGGGCCACAATTTACACAGAGGGTTCAATTATAAGTCCAAGTCCAACATCCATCACGATTCTTGATTCAGTAAGATTTACATTTAAGTCATTCCGTTAGCTCTTTTGCTTTGAGCAGAGCCACACATCATTGTATATGGTTTGAACATTGTTCTTCAAAAAAGCATAGAAAATACAAATTCTAAACAAATTTTCATATTTATTGTTAGTATTGTTTGTAAATGACTAGTTTATTAAAAAATAAATAAATAAATGAAAACTAATGACAGGACCGGGACACTTAAGGGGCCAATCAGATTGAGCCGCCCCTGAATTCTGCAGCGTTAAAGTTAATAAGAGCATTCTTTTTCTGTTCCTTTGTGACAACCATGCTAAATGTAATTCTTTTTCTTTTTTGTTACGCTGTTAGCGATCACATGTCAGAATCCAGAGGGAGCTCCTCACCTGATCACCGTGTGCAGCAACTCCTCCTCTGAGCTGCGGCTGGGCTCCACCTGCAGCTTCAACTGTGGAGCCGGCTTTGAGCTGCAGGGAGCAGACACAGTTCAGTGTTCTGATGAGGGGCGGTGGAGTAAAGCCATACCTACCTGCAAAGGTATGGAAGCATATTTTCACACATATCTTTACACACACACAGCTTTTTCTCAGCCTATTTGGACAAGTCGTGACGTTTCTTTCACACTTTTGTAGCAATGGAATGTCCTGCCCCTGAGATTCCAACAAATGGCCACATCAGCTGCAGCCTCTCTCTGTCTTCACCTGCTTCTCCCGAGACCTCCCATCCACTTGGTATGGTTTGCACTTTTACCTGTGATGAAGGCCACGAGTTGGAAGGTGCTCTCAGCATGGAGTGTGAGCATCCAGGCCAGTGGAGCTCCACACCACCCACCTGCACAGGTATGAATATGAAACCTTTTTATCTGCTCCATTTGTTGTTTTGACAGGGTCACAAAATGAGATGTGGCTAAATTATTCTCTTCCATCAGCTCTAAGGTGCCCATTGCTCGAGGCTCCAGAAAATGGTGACATCAACTGCTCAAACAGCGAGCCAGTGTTCAACTCTCAATGCTCCTTCACGTGCATCCCAGAATACTCCCTGGATGGGCATGAGCTGCTGACCTGTGATCATCATGGAAACTGGACCGGAGAGAGACCCACCTGCCAAGGTGAATAAAAGAAAAACTCAAGAAATCCCCAAAATAATTTAAAGTCAAGTTTGCATTTGAAAGGTCAACAAATTTACGTTTTGTAATGTTTCCACAGCTTCCCCATCCATAATGAATGCTATTACCTCTGGTGTGGCAGCAGGGGGCACTCTGCTAACTGGTCTGTCTCTTGTAATTTGGATCCTGAAACGACTAAGGAAGAGGAAAAACGGATTTGAATTGAACAGGTTAGACGAGCATTCACTTTTCTAATGCCATGTATTTTGTAAAATGTCTGAGGTTTTGTAAGGCTCTCTTTGAAAGAAAACAGAATATAATCCGTTCGATATATCTCCATAGACCGTGTCGAATACAGAAGCGGCATCGCCATGTTACAAATTTATAAGGCTTATTCTATTGAAGAGAAATACTACAGTTTTTATTTTAGGCTCACTACAGAGTTAATACAACTTAGATATGAGGATTATATCCCATTTTTTAGCAAAGAGTGCCTTAAAAAACCTCAGACATTTTACACACTGCTACTTTAAACAAAAAGTTTGTTAAATTGCAGTGCTCATCCTCTTTCTTTGTCTTTTCTCACAGTAACTCCGACATAGAGGCCCCTGTACAGGTCTACAAAAACAGCACTGACAGCCTCATATAGACGTACACTCAAGATCTTCAGCGACAACTAAGGCCAACGTGTGTCTCTAACATTGTAATGTCCTCAATGTGAATCATCTTTGTTTGTACAAAGCTTGTTTGGGTTTGTTAACAGGAAAACCCCAGTATTTCAAAGCTATCAGTGAGAGGAAATGTTTTCTATGTTGAACATATTGTTCTGCGGCTGTATGTACATGATGGATATATGGCTCTATTCATGTTATATCAAGTGTTACATAACATTGTGGGTGTGGGTGGATTGCAGACCTGTGAATACTTTTCTGTATATATTCCAGTATTTATTTAATGCATTTGAACTGTTAATACATATTTATGAGTCACATGATCACATGACGAGAAAATATTTATGTGAGGATGACAATGTGCAGTTGCAGTAAATTATAAATGGTTTTCACAAGCAAATGTTTACAAATTTCTTTTCACGCCTATTACGTGCTGTGTTTTCTCTCTGCTCTCTTTCTGCTCTCTCTACCAGGTGTCCATTCAGGTGCCTCCCTTTTCCCTGTAGCTGCAGTGTGTGTGTGTGTGTGTGTGTGTGTGTGTTAAACTTGGTGATCTCTTTCGTGCGTGTCGTGTTGATAGCGTGACCAGTTAGTCTGTTAGGTTGTGGTGTTGAGTTTAATTGTTACTGCTGTTTGTCAGTGTCACTTTCCTTTTAGAAAGTTGTTTTCAGTTTGTTATTAATAAATGACTCTTTTTGTTCATACGTTGCCATGATTCTCTTTCCCTGGGTTACTTATATTTTTACTCCCCTGCACTTCAATCGTGAAACGTTACAACATCCTTTTTAGAGCCTATTCCAGTTTACACTGCCCACTTGTGGTGCAGCTACACTAACGCAAAACTGAACAGAGCTTCAGGTGACACATAATGATGCATTCAAAAGCTTCATCAAGCTTCTTAGATGGAGAAGTGCAAACCTCAGTTCCACACATTTACACTGAGATCGCAGAATGTAATTTTTTTTCAAGGGTCCAGGAAGAACCTTTTCCAAACACAGGACAGACCCCTTATCTGTCTCTGTCACAGTGCCCCATTCCCAGGGTCAGGACAGAGCATGATTACAGTGAGAGATGTTTTAGCGAGGAAGGGATATATTGCTGGTCTGATGTCTTTTAAAGATCATTACCATTGTTTTCACCTTCTGCATCAGCACATTAGTGGGAAACGAAATTTTCCCACTCATGGGATTTTGGTATCTAGAAACGGAATGGTTGAATGATTGTTGAATTCATTCAATCAAGTCAGGATGCAAAGCGGCAATGGTAATCAAAACTGTTGATAAAGGAAACTGATAGTTAAACACTTAACAAGCGGAAGGCTTCACTCCATGGAGCCATGTACAGACAGAGAATCAGCCATTTTAGTGTAGTCTTGCCTTTGGTCCTAAGGCAAGGATATATGATATTTTCTGGGTGAGGAGACTATTTCTTAATGTTGGCTTCATTGGTGACTCTCACTAAATGATTATAATTTGAAATAAGTCATTGTTTTTGGTGTTTGTGTTCCCTTTCATGGGTTATTTTCATGGATGACTGGAAAAAAAATCTGCCCCTGACTCCACCTTTACCAAAAGTATGCAGGGTTCATTTCCCAAAAGCTCTGCTCTGTCGTTTAGTCAATCAGTCATCAGACACATTCATGCTGCACAGTAAACATCCAGGTATTCTCCAAGGAAGGTTGGACTGAATCGCCCGAGAGAAATATAAAAGTCTGACACGGATCCTTGGTTTGCACCAAACTTGCGTTCACTTACTGAGCTGCTGTGGTTTAAAGTTTGATGTGAGTCGAAAACATATGGTTTTACTTTAATTAAACAATTTTCTGCTCCGGGTAAGTGATTCATTTCTTCTTTTTATTAATTTGTCTTTTATGATGATATTCGCTGCTATTTTTTTTCTTGACTTAAAGGTCATTAAGTGAAAATGCAGTGGACTCTAATCGTCCTTCTTGGTGAGTATTAGTTTAAATAGCAAAATGTCGTTTAGTTTACAGGAAACATGATACAACTGTGAATGAACTCTTTCTTATCTAAAAGTTTCATCCTATTATGCTATCAGGGAGCTCCTTGGCTGAAACTACTTTGGGCTGGATGTACCACTACTCAAATGAAAGCATGACCTGGGCCAACGCTCGACAGTACTGCAAGACCAATTACACGGACATGGTGGTCATCCAAAGCCAAGAAGAGAATAACCATCTCGTCTCCCTGCTGCCAAACCGACTTGGGACTCCATATTATTGGATTGGAATTACCAAAAACCACATGAATGAAACCTGGACCTGGCTGGGCAACAACAGCACGTGGATCGGTAATGAGTCGTGGGCAGAGAAAGAGCCCAACAACAACCACAGCACAGAGTTTTGCGTGGAGATCTACGTCAAAATAGGGAAAAACCGAGGGAGGTGGAATGATGAGAAATGCTCCAATAAGAAATATCCTGTTTGTTACAAAGGTATGAAAAGGTATGGCGGTTTTTGTCAGCTGTTGCTGTTTCAGAAGTGGTAGAGGATTTAGTGTTGCACTTTTTTCTCGACAGCCCAGTGCAACGAAACAGCATGTGGCCGAGGAACATGTCGGGAGACTATCAACAACATAATCTGCCTCTGTGAACCTGGATTTAAAGGAGACAGATGCCAAACAGGTGAGAGGTGGGAGCTCTTTAAAACATGTTGATAAAGGAAAGCCTGTGCAAAAGCTGCATTTAAATAATGAAAAATGACTAATTACAAAGTGTACTGTAATCAATTGAAACATGTGTATAATAATGTATTTTGTTGTGTTTATCTAATAAAAATGTTGTTTACCCATTTTTTAAGATGGCTGTAACCAACATTTTCATGTCTGTTTTTTTCAAAATTCTTTAACAATACACAACTTATGCTAACGTGTTGTGTAATTGCATCTACCGATGTTTAGGGTTGCTAAGCTGGACTATGGTTTCTCAGGGGAGGGGTTAAAGGTACAGTGTGTAGAATTGTGTGATATCTAGTGTTGAAAATGCATGTTGCAGCTGAACACCCCTCACCTCACCCTCTCCTTCCAAACATGAAAAAGAACCATGGTAGCCTCCAGTTTTCATAAAAACTCAAAAGGTGTTTGTCCAGTCTGGACTAATGTAAAAAACATGGTAGTCACCATAGAGAGGACCCCCTCGATGTAAATATAATGTATTTAAATATAAAGGACCTTTTCTGGGGTAAAGAAAAACTACAATTCATACAATTTAGATGAAACAAACTAGTGAAAACATCATGAGGATTATTCTACATTAAAGTTCTTCCAATAGTTTCCTTTCACCTAAATCTTACACACTGGACCTTTAAGGGAAAAGAAATTTTCAACCAGCTCAGCTCTGTTGATTTTTAAAGTCTGTAACTTAACTATTATATTAAATAATGTAACAGGCAGACAAAATGGCAATGAGGTGCATTTAGCCGCAAACAAACAAGATATTTCTCCTCAACAGGTGGTGGAGTCCAAAAACAGAGCTACAAAGATGCATTTTGGATTAACATTCATTTACACAAAAATTAAAATTGATAATGGATGATACTGCATGTGTTCGATATTTCAAAAGGGAGCTGTTTACTATTAAGTTTTATCTTATCCACTTAAAAGAAAAAAAGTGTTGTGTTTTGTCTTGTTTCTAATGCTCCCAAGTGGCTTAAAATCAGTTATTGCTGGTTTATCGCAGGTACGATAGAAGGTTGTTGATATTGTTCCTTTTCTAAGAATTATGTCCTTTATTCTGCAGAATTTTCTCTCCCCTGACTCTCACTGCTCTTTTTTAGAAAATGACATTTGTTGATTCTGGGCCTTGACACTGTCATCATAAACCCCTTCATCTGTTTCCTCTGTTTCCTTAGGTCATACTGAGGATCATGTCTAAATACTGATGAAAACACTAACATCAGCATGTCTTTGCTCCCTAAACAATAGACTTGTGAGACATTACATAACTGTATCCCAATTAAACTTTAACCTATTTGTGCCCACAGCGGTGGAATGTCCCTATCTGCCACAGAGTGATAACGGAGACTTTCGCTGCTCGGAGGGAAACCAAACATTTAACTCAACCTGTCAACTGAAATGCCATCTTGGCTTCCTGCCGACAGGGTCATCAACCATTACCTGCGAGGCCAATGGAGTCTGGAGTGGCCCAAGACCTATTTGCACAAGTAAATACCTTAAATTTACAAGTTTTAACAAATATCTTGAAATAAATACATCAAAACCAAGGGTATTCTATGTGCAATAGTACATCTTGTTTAGAATAATATCTGTCGAGCATTGAATGACATAAGATGTGTGTTTGACTTTTCTCAGGCTATAAACATGCTCTTTTGGCTGTGGTGGGGTGTGGTGCCCTCTCAGCCGTCGGCTGCCTCTGTTGTTGTTGGATGAAACGCAGAAAAAGTCAGTGTTTCTCAACTACTCTTAATAGAAATTGCAGATGCAATCTTATTTCAACACTTCAATCTGTTCGTCTGTTCATTTCTTGCAGGAAAGAAACTTGCACAAGTAAGGTCAGTGTTGAAACACGACATTTGTACAAAGCAGCCCCACCCACTGACACACCATTTGTGATCTTCAGGATTTAGAAAGTTGATTTACAAACATAAGAGTAAGTTTGGATATGCTTTTTGTTCACAGGCAGACTGAAGAAGCGACATGCTCATCCAATGAGGTGCACGGATAAAGGATCCTTGTGTATGTCTTTTTAAAGTAGATATATAATAACCAAAATATTATTTATACTACACTTTTAATGAATATCCCTGCAGTCACTGGCTCCACAAGCTATTTGCAAAAAAATGTTCGATTAGCAGGTTAATTGTTTTGCTGAATATACTGTATTTTAAAGCTTGATTTAAATATATATAGCGTATCATATTATGTGTATGTAACCTCCAAACATGCTTTTAATAACATTAGAGTCAAATTTCTGCTGTATCTTTGTTAAATATAAATATTTGAATAAAACAAAATACTTTCTAAACATTTGTATGTGTGTTGTCCCGGTATTACCCGCTTAAGGGACACCTATATCTGTTTACGGTCCCCATAATAGAAAATAATCACATTTGAAAGTACATGTTTTAAGGTAAGGTTTAGGTTTAGAATTAGGTTATGGTTATGGTTATGGTTATGGTTATGGTTAAAGTAAAGTTAAGGTTTAGGTTTAGGATTAGAAGGGTAGGCTGTGTGTCTCTAACTTATCTGTATGTGAGTAGCCGGACATTGTAATGTCATCAATGTGAATTATCTCTGTTTGTATAAAGCTTGTTTGGACATACTGGAAAACCCCAGTATGTCAAAGCTATCAGTGGTGAGAGGAAATGTTAATTTAAACTTTGCATTTATTTTTTTTAAAATTTTTGTTTAGACATGTACAATATATCCTATATTGTATAACATATTATAATATATTCTATATTGAACATACACTCACCGGCCACTTTATTCGGTACACCTTGCTAGTACTGGGTTGGACCCCCTTTTGTCTTCAGAGCTGCCTTAATTCTTCCTGACATAGATTCAAAGAGGTGTTGGAAACATTCCTCAGAGATTTCGGTCCATATTGCCATGATGGCATCACACAGTTGCTGCAGATTTGTCAGCTGCACGTCCATGATGCGAATCTCTTGTTCCACCACATCCCAAAGGTGCTCTATTGGATTGAGATCTGGTGACTGTGGAGACGAATACAGTGAACTCATTGTCATGTTCAAGAAACCAGTTTGAGATGATGTGAGCTTTGTGACATGGTGCATTATCCTGCTGGAGGTATCCATCAGAAGATAGGTACACTGTGGTCATAAAGGGATGAACATGGTCAGCAACAATACTCAGGTAGGCCGTGGCATTTAAACGATGCTCAATTGGTACTAAGCAACCCAAAGTGTGCCGAGAAAATATCCCCCACACCATTACACCACCACCACCAGCCTGAACCGTTGATACAAGGCAGGATGGATCCATGCTTTCATGTTGTTTCCTACAGATTCTGACTCTACCATCTGAATGATGCAGCTGAAATCGAGACTCATCAGACCAACGTTTTTCCAATCTTCTCTTGCCCAATTTTGGTGAGCCTGTAGCCTCAGTTTCCTGTTCTTAGCTGACAGGTGTGGTCTTCTGCTGCTGTAGCCCATCTGCTCCAAGGTTCGACGTGTTGTGTGTTCAGAGATGGTATTCTGCATACCTTGGTTATAACGAGTGGTTTTTTGAGTTACTGTTGCCTTTCTATCATCAACAAGGCATTTTCGTCCACACAACTGCCGCCCACTGGATATTCTCTCTTTTTTGGACCATTCTCTGTAAACCCTAGAGATGATTGTGCGTGAAAATCCCAGTAGATCAGCAGTTTTTGTAATACTCGGACCAACCCGTCTGGCACAAACAACCATGCCATGTTCAAAGTCACTTAAATCCCGGTTCTGATGCTCGGTTGTTTGAACTTCAGCAAGTCGTCTTGACCACGTCTAGTTGCCTAAATGCGTTGAGTTGCTGTCATGTGATTTGCTGATTAGCTGTTTCTGTTAACAAGCAATTGAACAGGTGTACTTAATAAAGTGGCCGGTGAGTGTATTGTTCTGCAGCTTTATGTACACAATAGAAATATGGTTCTATTCATTTTACTGCAAGTATAACATAACATTGTGAGTGTGGGTGGACTGCTGTGATAATTGCAGACCTGTGAATACTTTTCTATATTGATTCCAGTATTTATATACTTATTTAATGTATTTGAACTGTTAATAAATATTTATGTGTCAACCTTATTCATGTGTTGCTTTTTAATAGATATCAAATGATGAGTCAAATGATCACATGACGAGAAAATATTTGTGTGAGGATGACGATATGCAGCAGCAGTAAACTATAAATTGTTTTCACAAGCAAATTCTTCTCTCTGCTCTCTTTCTGTTGTTTCTCTCAAGTGTCCATTCGGGTGCCTCCCTTCGGGTGCATGTGTGTTTGTGTGTGTATGTGTTATGGGTGGTAGAGTGATGCCCTTCCTAAGAGGAAGTTATGGTAAAAGTGATATTACAAAATCATTGAATCACTTCCTGGAGGACAGTTAATACCGTTTTGCCATTAATCATGAGTAGACGACAAGCATGAGTGACCAGACACAGATCAAATGGTAGGACCTGTGAACTCTGCTGCAAATGTATATTTACACTCATATGCATTTGTGAGAAAAATGTAATATCTTTTAATTCCAGATGTCTCAAGAATCAGTTGATATCCGACGTCTGCATCACAGGGTGCTGATAGCTGCATTGATCGTCCTTTCCCAAGGTAGGTTTGCATAATCCGACAGGCTCCAAACTCTTTGCTCCACCAGTACACTTTGGTTTAATCATCCATATACCTCATCATAGACCTGAGCAGCAGAGGAGGAGCACAGGCATGGACTTACAACTACAGCATCACCCCGAACCGGAAGTGGCCGATGGCCCGCCAGTGGTGTCAGGAGCACTTCATAGACATGGTGACCATCCAGAGCCAGGAGGAAACTGACTTCATCAACAAACTGCTGCCATCCAACTCAAAATATTACTGGATAGGCATCCACAAAGTGGATGGAGCATGGACGAGGGTGGGGACAGATGAGCTTGTGCCAGAAGACGCCCAGAACTGGGCAACAGAGGAGCCGGATAGCATAGCGGGTCAGGACTGTGTGGAGATCTATATCAAGAGGAATGAGGACATGGGCATGTGGAACAATGAGAAGTGCACAACCAAGAAGGGAACTGTCTGCTACTCAGGTAAACTCCTCTTAATTGTGTTTGGTCAACACATGTACTGACTCTTATCATAGCATGTAATATTTCTTTCTGTTTCTTTGTAGCCTCTTGTACACAGGATTCCTGCAGTGCACATGCAGAATGTGTAGAGACCGTAGGGAACTATACCTGCCAGTGTCATCCAGGTTTCCATGGCCCACGCTGTGAAGAGGGTCAGCAAACCATCGTAATATTCAAACCAGTCATGACCTCTTTTTGTGATGAGGTAAATATCATATTTGTCTCTCCTCAGCAATCGCATGCAAACCCCTGCTGGATCCAGAACACGGTTCTCACCACTGTTTCCATCTCTACGGGTCCAATCGTTTCAACTCTTCCTGTCGTTTCCACTGTGAACTTGGCTTTCGCTTGGTAGGCGTGCCCCAACTCTTATGCCAAACCAGTGGACATTGGAGCCACGTTGTGCCTCAGTGTCAAGGTATGACAACTGGATATAAATATTGTTACAGTAACTGCTATTTCAGATGTACGAGGAAAATATTTTTTTCCTTTTGTAGTTGAACAGTGTCCAGTTCTGAACCACACCAACAGCAGTGGAGGTAGAGTGAACTGCAGCCACCCCATCGCACCTTACAGCTACAACTCCACCTGTGAAGTCAGGTGTGACGAAGGATATGAGCTCAGTGGAAACGAACACATACGCTGTGACCACACAGGCCAGTGGACAGCCAGTGTCCCAGCATGCACAGGTAAAATTATTGTTTTTACCTTCAAGTGATACATTTGAACAAAATAATGTTTAAACATATAATATGTAACTCTGGCCACGAAGAGTTCTTCAATCAAAACAAAAGAACAATCCTCTCTCAGAGGACGCAGTCCACTGGGCCCTTGAAATGGGACGCAGCTCTAGTTTGGTGACTTTTAGGCAGCACAGGATCATGAGACCTGATTTCTTCACCACCATTGCTAAAGAAAAGCAGATATGATGCAATTAAGACAAAATTAAATATCCTTTTACCTTGAACAAAACTGAAACATTTTGGATAATATGAGTAAATAAGTCGCAAAATTTAAATCATGAGTCTAGTT